CTGTGGAGGAGGAGGAGGGAAGGTGCTGACTGTGTGCTGTGGAGGAGAATGGAAAGTGCTGACTGTGCGCTGTGATGAGGTGTTCACTCTGGGGAGCAAAGTGCCACTAAGGGGTGGCCTGGAAATGGCACGTGCAAGGCTCCCACCAGGCAGCCAGCAGGGGTGGCCCAAACTGCTTGCCCACACAGAAGTCCCCGTAGCCCCCACCCCACACTTGCCAGCACTTCTCCTGCCCCTGTTGGAGTTCACAGTTTAAACGTTTAGAACCTGGACAAGGAGCAACGAAGAAGCTGCTGCTTAGAAGCCACTCCTGCTGGTCCTCCTGCCTCTACCATGGGCAGGCACAGCTGTGGCCTCCTGAAATTCGGGGTCTCTGCTCTGCCGTCTTTCTGCTAGTGGGTGTCGGGCTGTAGTGAGGGCTCTCAATCTGCAGAGCACAGGACGCCAGAGTCGGGCGAGGCTGAGACTGCCCTTGGAACCTGAAGCGCTGACCCCAGCCCTGCCTCAAGCTGCTTCAGAACAGTCAGGGCCTCCCTGGTGTCCAGGCACTGTGACAGCACCCATCTCATGGTCCAGACCCCCATCTGAAGCATGCAGGCCTGCAGTGGGGATACTCACAGGCAGCGCGCTGTCAAGCTTGTGAAAATTCCTGTCCCCACAGAGCCCTTAGAAGTTGCTGACCACCCCTGCCCTGCCCAGACCACCCTCAGCCTGACTCAAACTCTCCACATTCACTGGCAGGACTGAGGTGCACGGCCTTAGCTAGGGTCTGAGTAGCCCCCACATCGCCACTCCTGTCTGGTCGAATGATGTCCCATTCCACGGTCGGGCCACACCTGGGTTGTCCCTCCTCTCCGGCTTTTAGGAATAGTGCTAATAGCTGTACTAATCTCCTTCGACAAACATGGAAACTGAGTAACAGGAGGCTGTGCCCCAGGCCCACCTCCCCTCCCTGTGTGCACTGGCCCTTTGCTATCCTGTACCCGAAAGCAGGGGCCACAAATGGGAGATGGCTACCCCTGCATACCTGCAGGTGTCCTCCAGCACCAACTGCAAGGGTTCTGTGCCCTAAGGTGTCCAGAGGCCTGTTGCCCAGGACTGGGAACCTGAGGGCAGGGCTGGGTGCCCTCTTCCCAGGGCAGCCATAACCTGTCAGAGTTCTCTTGGGACTCCACCCACACAGTGGGTGTTGACCTGGGAGTGGAGCCCCACTGGACACAGGTGTCACTTTTCTCATTGCTGCACCTGAGGTGGGGAGGGGTAAAGACATTCTTATGGGTGGGAACAAAACCATTGGCCTTGTGGTTTAATATCCTTGATAGCCCTGGGCTGCCATCCGGATTACAGCCCCAGCCGGGCAGGGTAGGCACCAAGTGTCGAGATGCTGGAGGACACCAGGAACCCCAGGGTCACCAGGGTTGCCTCTCAGGGAAGCCTGGCCCACCACACTGTGCAGCTCTGACAAGGTCAGCACCATGTGAAGGCTGCTGTGTGGTCCTTGGGACAGAGGCTGGCTCCCAGGCCTGCAACCCGGCTTCCCTGCTCTAAGAGGCCCCAGGACCCACTGTGGAGGCCACAGGCAAGCCCCAATGAGCCAGGACTTGAGGACCCCAAACACAAACCCTGGCCCCATGCAGGGTGAGAAACAGAGAGGAAGCTCTGCTTCTCTGGAAAAGAAGCTGCCTGTCATTGTCTTTGGTGTGTTAAGCAGAGCAAGTGTCCCACACCTGTCCCACTCCTCTGCCACAGGCACCTCAAGGTGCCCCCAGCTGGGTCCTAGCTCCTTGAACTTTACCCTGCAGGGAGAATGGCTCTTCTGTCACCCTGCCAACACCTTTATATGGAACTTGCAGCCAGCACTGCGATGATGCTCATCCGGGATCCCTCAAGAGAGCTGCCATCGAGGGTGTGCCCACTGACACTCTGATCTGGGTGCAAGCCAGTACCAATGGACCCCATGGCCCTGCAAGGTCCATGGAAGAGCTCGGACATCGCACCCAAGGAAGACACAAAACACACACGAGCGCCAAAACCACACTCCTACAAGATCTGCAATCTCCATAGATGCGAGAGACCCAGACAGGCAGAACCTGCTAGACTTTGAGCAAGACAGGCAGGTGGACCCCGAAGGCCAGCTCTGGAATCGGGTCACCACAGGCAGCAATGCTGCTCCCAGCTTCACTGGCTCAAGGCAAAGGCACTGGGGAGCTCATGGCACCAGCCAATGGGGACAGGGAGGGATGGGGTGGGCCAGGAGCACCCCCCCCGGCAGAGTGCTGGGAGCTAGCAGTGGACGCATCTGTCAGCTAACGATGTGAGATTTGTGCTCTGACATCCTGGGTTCCATGAGAACGCCTGTGCCAGCCGACTCTTAAAATCACACACTTGACTTCCACGGTGTGGAGCTGTCCTCCTTGCCTGGTTAGGCACAGCTGGCCAATGTAAGGGATATGGATTGGTCCCCATTGACCACTGAAAGGTCAGCTCTGGTTGTGGTGCCCTTTGCCTGTGCAACCTGTGACAGTGCTAAGGACATGAATCCCCTCCGGCACCGGACAGACTCCTGACATGTGTACCATCACATGGCTCTCTTCACACCTCTTTGTTTCCCCTGATACTCCAGCCAGGTTTCTCCTGTGGAAAAACTCAGGTGTCAGAGAAGGGTTGGGCACCCAAGAGCCCCAGCCAGCACCACCTGCCTGTCCCAGTACCTATGAGGTCAGGCTTGGACAAGGAATGAGGACGTGACCACTGAGAGCAGAGCCTTGGGGCTTTCACCCTGAGACTGTGCCACACCCAGAAGCTGGGGGACAGCAAGGCCGTCAAGGGACAGCAGATGGCCAGGGGACAGCAAGACGGCCAGGAAACAGCAGATGGCCAGGTTGACAAAGGGCTGATGGGGAGTCCTGGCTTCTGAGCGTTATGTGATATCAGTGGGAACAGGGCTCTGGCTCAGCTAGAGGAAATATTTTTGCTAATTTCTAAGGTTTGGACAAAGCTAGTCAGTAACCTAAAATTCTAAACTAACAATGCCATTGGTAAAGAGTTCCACAGATGCCTTTGGACTTCAACTTCCAAAGAATCATTGAGGATAGAAAGGAGGCCTCAGAGGCCATTGGGAGGCCAGGGATGTGCTCCTAGGGATCATGGGGACACTAGGGACGCAGTCATGGGGCTCACAGGGAGGCTGAGGACCACACTCTGGAGGTCACAGGAAGCTGGAGCTGCCTGGGCCCAGCTAAATCAGCACAAGCTGAGGCCAAGATCACATCCTCCTGGAAACCAGGCTTGTGAGGAAAAACTGAACAGTGATAATAATCAGTGGTGACAGGTCCCAGGCCAGACACACTGTGTGTGTCTTTCAGGACCAGTGACCACTCCCACTGGCTGCCTCAACTCTACCAATGCCCTCCCTCACTGTCCTGGGCTCCTTGGGCTCCCAACACGAGCCTCTGCTTACAGCCCTTGGCTGAGGGGTCTGCTGGACAGTGTGGCACTCCACCAGCAGAAGCTGCACTGCATGGCCATGTCCCTTTGTCCCCCTGGACCTAGGGTCCAGGGCTTCAGGGTAGGAAAGACCCCCCCACATCTCAGGCACCAGGGCTGGTTCTATAAAATGAACTGAGGACAAGCAGGTGAAGGTGGCAGAGCCAGGTTTATTATAGCCCAGACATCAAGGAAAGATGGGGCCCACAAGGCTCAGGGGCTGCAAAATTTGGGGGCCATCAGTTTTGGGGGCTGTAAGATTTGGGGTTCATGAGACTTGGAGCTCTTCTGTGGGTTCACAGGAGGAGTCAGAGCATGAATGGGGAAGGGTGAGGCCTTTGGGAGGCAGCAAGGGGGTCTGGGTGGTTCCCCCCCCCCACGAAGTGTTCCTCTTCATGCTGGAGATGCTGGGAGACACCAGGCCTGAGTCCCCTAGGGCTCAGGTGGATGCAGCTCCACCTGCCCTTGTGATGGCTCACAAGATTCTTCAGCTCAAAAGAACAAATAGACCAAGACACACTCTTGGGGTGCATCTCCAGTCTCCTCAACACCCAAGGTGTGCACGTGAGGTGCATTCCAGCCCCCAGCTCTTCTGCGACTCTGGTCCACCAACTCAGGCTCTGGCCAGTTCCAAGTGTGCTCACTTGTTCCCAAACCTGGGCCTCCGTTTGTGCTGCAGCTGCAGCCTGGGCCCTCAATTGAAGACCTTGGGGCCCTTCCACCCCATCCCACTGGCGCAGAGGCTGGATGTTCAGCCTCCATGGCAGGCAGGGAGGCTGTGCTACAGAGGCCCGGGGTGCCGACTCATCTAATGGCTCAGAGGACCACAGGGCTGGGCACAGGGGCAGCAGTCAGGTGGATGATGGTCTGGTCAGTGTATGGTTGATCTCTTTGAGTTGAACAGACATGACACAGACCTCAGGCAACCCCTGGCCTTTTAGAGCAGCATTGGCTATTTGACCAAAGCTTACTTTCACTCCAAGCAAATATCAGGAGGACATGAGGGCCAGGGTGGGGTGGTCTTCTTTGGGACACACATGCACATTTCCTGAAAGGGGGCTGGCATGCAAGCACTGGACAACAGCTTGTCTGTAACAGGAGGGGGTCTAACAAACTAACAAGCACCAGGCAGTCCTTTCCAGCAAGGGAGGCTGGGCTCAGTGGACCTGTTCCCTCTGCCCTGGCCTGGCCTGGTTGAGGACCTACCCAGAGGGGAGGGTGGGCATGGCCTTCCAGAACATTCTCAGGGCTCTCCAGTAGGTTGGCTGCAGAAGTGAGAGCTCTAGAGGTGGCTTTAACACAAACAAACAAATAGTGTTTCTACTCTAGCACCTCCAAGTCAGGGGGCATAGGGGGGTGGCTTCTCCCCTGGGAGGAAGCAGGCTGGAGCGCAGAGTGGTGGGGCGTTGGGGGCGCACCCGAGGCTGGAGCTGCACTGCTGGGGAGGCCGGGCATCCTCAGGCAGGGAGAGCTCAGTGGAGGGCTGCAAGCAAAAAGAGGGCAGCCTCAATCAGTAGGGCACAGCCCACCAATGCTCAGACCACATGCCAGTGCTCACCATCCTACCTGAGTACCAAGTTCTGTAGAACCTCGTCTGGGTGAACTCTGCTCCCAAAGCCTCTGGGCGGGCACTCCAGAGAAGGTCACTGAAGCCTTCCTCAGACAACCTAAACCCACTCGGTCCAAGACCATCAACATCTCTGGCAAAGTATGATGGCTAATTTTTTTAAAACAGTGTTTTGTTAACTCACTACATTGTCCATGAGGACTTGAACTCATGATCCTCCTGCTTCCTTTGGTATTGGGTTTACAGGCGCACACCCCTGTACCTGATCATAAGAATTATTTTAAGTCAGCTGATCAGACGTGCTCAAACTGCTGTCCCACATCTCAGTGAAGGTGTGTTTCAGAGACAATTAGTATTTAAATCAGCAACCTATGCATTTTCCCAACCATGGGGACCCAGGGGGTCTCTGGGAACATTCTTTCAGGTCTACTGGCAGTGCCTGGCTCTGTGCCTTCCCCAGAGTCCAATATGCCCTTCACTGGAAATGAGCAGCCATGCAAACCTCACAGTAAACCAACAGGAACCACTGAACAAACCACCAAGAACCACAGAGTAAACCACACTGAACAATGGAGTTAACCCCCAGGAACCATGGAGTAAACCCCCAGGAGCCACAGAGTAAACCTCCAGGACCCATGAGCAAACCACATGGAACCATGGAAAAATCTTCAAGAACCATGGGACAAATCAGTACATAGACAGCACCCCACCAGGCCAGCCCTGCCCACAAGAGACCTATATGAGGGGCTGGGGATTTAGCTCAGTGGCACAGTGCCTGCCTGGGAAGTGCAAGGTCGTGAGTTTGATTCCTGGTACTGGAAAAAACAAAACAACAACAAAAAAACAAGAGACCTATATGACACAGACAGATCTCTTAGCAAAAGGACTTGGGCCTCACCAACTCTTCACTTGGGGAGGTTGTAGGGGCTTTTGAGGCTTGACTCCCTTCTCAGAACAAGCCCAAGCCTGCCCTGCCCTCAGTGTCACTGTGGGAAGTGTTTTGGCTGCACTGATGTCCATAGTCACAGCTCCAAGGAAGCACGTGACACCTGTCTGATCTGCTTCCTCTGAGAGCTGATACATCATTCCACTCCTATATGTGCCAGTGCTATAAACTGGACTGTCCATCAGGGAGGCAAGGGTGCATCCAATGTTTAGAAGGTCCTGGAGGCACAGAGAAGGGATCTCTGGGGGACATGACAGATGCATCCAAACACAGATGGGGCACTAGGTGTCAGGAAAGGCCCATCCTGCAGGGTGCCCCAGTGTAGCTCCTGGCATCTGTGTGATTCGGGTCTGTGTCCATAGCAGCCAGGCAGTGTGGGAGCCTCTCAGGTCCTGCCCTTGTTGATCTCATGATCCCACATCCTGCTTTGGCCAACTCCCGAGCAGGACACAGTATGTCCCGCAATGATGGTCCTTCCCTGATGGGGATGGGGGAAGCTTATTACAGTGGATGTGAAGCTCTGGGGAAGGCAGAGGCCGCAGAGCAGAGCAGCTATGTGTGTGTCACCACCACCTACATGGGTGTGACCAAGGAAGGAGCACTGCAAACACTGCATCATTTCCTGACACTAAGGCAGTTTCTTCCCATCTCCTAAAATAGGAGGCTCCCCTTGAGCCAGGTTGAACCCCAAGAGACCTCTTCTTCCCTGGCTCAGGAGTTGTCCAGCACCACCAGAACACCTCATGTGCACAGCCAGGGAGTCACCATGGCGGGAAGCCAGACCCTCCCAACCTTGCAGAACAGGTGGCCACAGCCTAGGTCCTGGGTGTGGGGGACACACCTGCTCCAACCCCAAGTGCTGCTGGCCCTCACTGCTTCGAGGACATGGAGTGGGCACACTGCCTGGCCATCTCTGTCCCAGACAGTCAGGGCTGGGCTCCAAATAGTCCCAACAGTCACCTTTCCTAGCAAGGTCTTCCTCCTGCTGACCTCATTTAGTGGGCACAGGTCCCTTGAAGGACACCTAAAGACTTGTGAATTCAAACACAGAACACCCGCCCACTGGCCATGCACAGGAACACTGACCTCATGCTTCTCCAAGAGTAGCCCCATGTGGCTCTGGACCTGTTGTCCCTGCTGCTCCTGACATAGCCATGTGACAAACTCCTCCTGCCAGACAGGAAGCCTCGACCTGCTTGAACCAGGCACCCTCCATGTGCCCCCCAAGGGTGCTGGGTGATGTCTGCCAGCAGTTCGGTTTGTCACAGCTGGGTAACCATGTAGGTAGGGCCCAGGACACCAGCCCAGGAGGGGGTGAGGCCCAGGGTTGCTAAGGTGCTGTGGGATGATCTGAGCTTTTTCCACCCCAGGCCACCAGGCACAGGAAGACACCAAAGGCAGGGGAGGAAGTGAAGGAAGCACAAGAGCCCGCCTGGCCTGCACCCAGCCCCAAGGCCAGTGGTGTCAAGCGAGTGAACCCTACACAGTCACTGTCCTTGCGTAAGCCTCACTGGGCCCTGGCAGACTCGAGGCTCCTCCTCTACTCTCTTTGCACTCTTGGGTGTCTGGCCACGTGGCAGCTGGATGTGTTTAGGGCTGAGCAGGGCCAGCTCACAGCTGATCATTGGCAGAACCCAACAAGAACCCCAGGGCACTGACAGCAATGAGCCTCCAATACCACATCCTCTACCTGGCCCCAACCCTCTTCTCCCAACCACCTGGGCCACACAGGGAGACCCAGGTCATTGGAGGCCCTCTTCATCTGACCATGGCCTGCCCACATGACCACTGTCTCCAGGACCTGCCTGGCCGCAGCAGTGAAGCATGCCTACCTGAAGAGGCAGAGGGTAGGATGAGCAGGTGGGCATGGCTGTGGGTGAGCAGAAGCTGGTGTAGGCCAGGACCTGCTGGGCAGGGTTGTAGAGGATCTGAGGTGGAGATGACGGGCTGTAGGCCAGCTGTGACAGGGGAACCTGCCAAGGAAGGGGTGGTGGGTATTGTACCACCTGCACCCAGACATGGGAGCCCTCCCTACAGTGCCCACAAGGACATCCTGACACTGTGCTCAGACTGGGGGCTGGGGATCTGGAGGACCGACTGGGATAAGGGAGGAGAGCTGGTATGGGGTGCAGGGTCCTCAGGTTTGGCCACAATATCTGGGAATAGAAACCTGAGAGGAAGGGGCCAAGCACCAGTCTGAGGACAGCCCAGGCTTCTACTGAAAGTGGCATGGCTCCAGCTCTGGGGCAGGGGGCCAAAGGCTCCCTGAGGATCTGGGCTGCTGTGTCAGTGGGCTCGGCCTGCAGGCTATAGTCCCAACTGGACCATGCACTCATGGGGTCAGCTGTGGCAGGGGCTCAGTTCAGAGCAGACAGACACCCTGAGAGGGCAGAACAGGGATGGGGAGCCATCCTGCCCAGCCAGTCCCCCATAAGCAGACAGCAGGAAGGGTTGGGGACTAGGTCAGCCAAGGCTCCTCGGGTGCCAAGCTGAGGGGCTCAGATTTCAGAGGATCACAGTGCCCTCCTGGAGCTTGTTAGCCAGGTCTTGTGCATGGATGGTTCCCACGTGACTACTGAGCAGCTCTGGAGCTGAATTTGGCTTCCTAGAGGGTGGCGTTCCCCTGCTTCAGGGGCTGGAGGATGAGGTTAGACCACTCCTGTGAAGGTATAGATGGGCCTGCTGCCACGGAAGCAATGGTGAGCACTGGCTGTCACTCGGTGGGCTGTGGAGTCCTTGCAGCCAGCACCTCCTCTGTCAACAGAGCCCCTGACCGAGCGTTGCTTGCATGCTGGAAGGTTCCACTCACCAGGTCCTTGAAGGCCCCCAGGACGGCGGCTGTGACAATGCCCATGCACAGGCCCAAGATGTTCAGCACCGTGGAGACCCAGAGCAACCGGTAGAGGTGGACTACATCCTGACAGCTGTGAACACCCACGAACTCGTAGTAGGTGGGGGACAGCTCTGCACTGCACATGAGAGGGAGAGGCAGCATCACCCGTGGGCCAGGGAGTGGCATGGTGACCATGTCAAGGGCCAAAGTGAGGCCACCCCAAAGGCCAGGGCAAGGCCAGGTGACCACCCTGAGGATCAGAGCCTGGTTGGGTGATGACCCTGCATGTTAGAACTGCAGCCAGGCAACCCTGCTATAGCCAGGTGGTGGCCAGGTGAACTGGCTGTGGGTTAGAGAGCCATGGCCAGGCAACTTTGTGTCCTGCACAGTATGGGAAAGGGAACAAAGTTGTTGTAGCACCAAACTCTCTCTCACATGGCACAGCCTCTGAGGCAGAGCTGGCCTTGGTTGCCTGCCCAACAGGCTGCTCTGTCCTTCAAGGCTGCTGAGTGAGCTCAGCATGTTCCTACGGCCACAAAGCCTGGCTGCCATGGGGACTCTGATACAATTTGTGCCCACTGCCCTGTCATCAGGCCACATACAAGCACTGAAGCCCAGCCCAGATTTCCCTGTGAAGCAACACCAGGTGAGAGCTAATGTCTGGCCCCAGTCCATGCCCTCCTGGGGATCCTGGAGGGGTCACTTCACACTCTTGGTGTGGAACGCAGTGCCCATCCTGTGGGTCTCAATCTCCACACAGACATCAACTGATACAGGGACAGTGATCGCCTTGGAGTGGGACCAAATATCCTAAGCTGGCAGGTACCCAAGGCTGGCCGTGCAGCCACCAACAACCTGACCAGGCCTCAACAGCAGCCACCCAGGGCTCAAGTCCCAACTGCCCAGGGAGAATGAAGAGGCAACACTTGGAGACAAGCTGGGGTTTCCAAGGTGCAGGAAGATGCTGCCCAGGCTGACCTTGTAGAGTTGCTGGTCACAGAGGAGCCAGCTGGATCAGGTCGTGGCAGGTGTCCGTGCAGGGCCCACAATGGCACAGATGCGGGGAAGCACTCACAGCTGCGGGTGGTGCAACTTCCTCAGTGTGGACCGGGGTCCAGGAGGGGACAGCCACAGGCCACTCAGACGGGCACGAGAAGCCACATGACTGGTGCACATGTGGCAAGCCAGCCCTATGCCACTGGTGTTCTGCACTGCCTCTGTCCCCTCCTACCCAAGGGTGGCACCTCAATGTGGGACCCACCTGCATTTGGTGAGGTGGCCAGGCAAGACAGCGGCCAAGCCACCCCTCCTCTTCATGCCAGGGGACAAACAAACACACCGTGCTCTCATGTACCACCTTACCCCATGAAAAGGCTCTGGGGCTCCTCCCAGCTTGGGTATTGGGGTCCTTGCCCTGAGAGGGCACCCTGGCAGCTATCCCCAGGGGATGACAGCCAGAGGCACATGCTTAAATCCCTCCCAGCACATGCTTTGTGTGCCTTGGAGACAACTCAATATCTCCAAGCCTCTGCTTTCCCACCTGTGCATCCACATCAGGGCTGACTGAAGGGTTTGGGAGCAGAGCAAGGAGGGGAAACAGAAATAGCCGTGGAGACCAGGCACAAGTGTGTACACATGCTGCAGAATGTGTGTGTGTGCATGTTTGTGTGTGTGCATGTGACATACAGACACCCCTCACCTCTCACACGTGTAGAGATCGCAGCAGTAGCAGGTGTTACTCCTCACCTTCAACTGGCACTTGCCCGTCAAGGAGTAGCAGGTGACCTGGGGAGAGGAACAGGTATAAACCAGGGCCAGAGCCTGTCTCCTAGCACAGGGGACCTTAGGCCAGGACATTCCAGATGGGGCCTGTGTTCAGCCCACCAATTCTTCCCCACCACACAAATGTGGGACGTCAGACAGCCACAGGAGGCCCATGCCGGAGGGACCCACAAGCACTGTTCATGGAGTCTCATTCTGCTAGAAAGCAGGCAGAGCCACTCAGCAGCCATCCATAACGAGAAAGCTAGGCATCTTTGGACAGTGCCAGCATCACTCTAGAGTTTCCTGCAATGATTAAGCTGGTTAAAATGCTAATGGAAACCCCTGGAGCTGGACTGATGAATTGCAACAGTGTCACAGAAGCAAGTTGCAGCTGTGATTCCAAAGAAAACAGAGGGCATTGAAATGCCAAGGCGAGCCTACCCACAAACGGGTGCTGCAAATGTCACCATCCATAGGTGAAAACAGGGCAGGAAAACCTGCTAGGGCAAAGGCAGGCACACTGTGACCAGACACAGACACTGGTGGGACTGAGGTATCAGCCGAGTAAAGACCAAGAGGCTTACCTCAGTCTGGTAGACATCATACAAGTACCCTGCCCCACTGGAGTAGAACTGGCACCTTTCCATGCTGAGGGGCCTCAGTTCCTAGAAAGAAAGAAAGGCAGATGGATGGAATTGTCATGCCCATTGCAGTTCTGCCTGCCACAGCCTCAGACCACAGCACAGCAGCCAGTGCCAACCAGAGCAGTGGGACTCCTGCATCCAGGAGGGAGGAGCAGAAGCCCAAGGAGGAGCTCTCCACTTGGTGGGGCCGACGCATCTCCACTAGTCAGCACAGGGAAGAGGAGGCAGATGGTCACTTGGTCTGCTGAGGGGCAGTCTACAACTGTACCACAGATGCTTGGGCCCCTGTCTCTCCCTAAAGTGAAACAACATTCTACAAGGATGGTAGCAAGGATTTCAGACTAATTCATTCATCCATTCAACCAGCCCAGCCATCCATCCATCTCTGTCTACCCAGCTTCCACACATTCCCAGCCATTTATCTGTCCATTCCATTATTCATTTACCCACACTCACCCACATGCCCCTGTCCATCCATCCACCCATTTATCATCTGTCCATTTATCATCCAATCACCCACCCCTCCATCTACCATTTGTCCATTCATCACCCATCTATCCATATATATCCAGGCTTCCATATTTTCCCGTCTGTTCATCCTATCCATCCCTCCCACTCTCCATCCTCTTTCCATTCACCCATCTATCCCTACCCATCTACCCATCCACCCTTTAATATCACCCTGTCCAACCACTCAACCAAACATTCTTCCATGTCCCAAACATCCCGATCTAACATTCCTGGAGTAGGTCAACATCAAATAACATGACAGAACTCTTGCCTCAGGCAATGCACAGACCAGTGAACGGCCAGGCCAGTGACCTCGCAATGCCAAGGTGCTTATAACTGCTGGGGCAGAGGACACAGAAATTAAAATGCCACAAAATCTGTAAAGGAGCAGGGATCTCAGTCTGCATGTACTTTATGACTGCATGTATTTTTGTCTCTTTCCCAAAGCACTGCTACTGCTGTCCTAACAGCAGAGCCTGATAACCACCATCTCACTGGCAGTCGTTGAGTCAGTCAGATTCCGTGGGCTCGGCAATAGGACAGACAGGGTACAGTGTCACTCCCAGATGGACACCGTCCCAGGAAGGTGACCGTGCTGAGGTGTGAGTGCCGTACTCACCATGTGCCGCGCTGCAAATACACCGTCCACGATGGCGCAGCAGAAGGCGGCCACCACACCAAAGCTGATGAACACGATGGCTGCCACCAGCTGGAAGTGAAAGACAGGACAAGGGTACTTCTCACACACCTTTCAACCCAGCTTGAACCCGGCTCCCAGCAGGGTTGTCACCGGCTCCCCCCACCTCTCTCAGGACAGCAGCCTAGGATAGGCCTGCCCAGCCCACTCACCCTGGGGTGCTCCCGTGCACCTTTCTCCTCCAACAGGGACACACGGGGTCCCCTCTGCCTATCAAGCACACAGCCCCTCCCCTCACAGCTCCTGAGAGGGACCTCAGCCTCTGCTCCCATCACACAGATGTGCACACACACACACACACACACACAGACTGTGTACAGTGCCTTTAAAGTAACCAAGTCCCCTCTACACCCCTGCACAGCCTGTGTTTGGCGATCCTGGCTCTGAGAGCAGAGCAGCACTGACAAGATGGCTGTTTAAACAGTTTGCAGATTCTTCTTACGGTAAACTACTGCATAGACCCTGAATGTGGCCTTGTAAAAACAGTGGGTTTGCACATGCGTGTCTGTGGGATCAACTCCTCCAATGCACATTAACACAATGCTTTTACGGGGACCCATTTAGGCCTTTTGCACTTCATGATCAAGATAGTCTGATAAAAACACTTGGCCAGTTCTTTTGCTCATTTCCTCCTATCCTGAATGACATTTGAAACTATTGATTTTTTTAGGTCTGATGGACAAAAAACTACACTTTATTTCAATTTGCATTTCTCTGAATATTAATGAGAGTGGAAACCTTTCTTACATTTGTTGGTCACTCCCTTACATTTTAAAGTTTTTCTTGTGAAACAATTCCATATTAACCAAAACAGAAAGGAAACTAGTTCAGCTCCCCACTGTCAGCACCTTCAAAACCACACAATGACCTCCCCTATGGGTGACACCTATCCCCAGCAGAGGGCAGCTGGTCCTAGAGACACGGAGTGGCCAACATCACCTCTATATTTTGTGGAGGTGTGAAGTGTACCATGTTTTCAGCTCAGGAAGCCAGAATGCTATTCCCAGGTGCACAGGTGGGGACCCCAGCACCCTGGTGCACCTAAGTAGCTCACATTGCACTGGGACCAATATCTGTATGTGCTGAGTTCCCTGCCCTAATCTGTTCTTCCAGAGATTATTGGCACAAATCTAAAGAAAGTACCGCTCCAAGAAGGCTCCACATCCCCCTACCCCAGCCCTGTTCTCCCAACCCCAGTGACCCTGTGGAGACACTTTCTCTTTCCTGTGTCTTTGGCTCTGTGGCTTTTGCATGGCACTGTGTTATCGTTTATGGCTAGATGTCCCCTCCAAGCTTCATGGGATCACTGGCAGAGCTTTGGAGAGGTGATTGGATCCTGGGGCACTTACTCATGGGTGGATTCATCCACTTATGAGTCTCTAGCTGACTCATGGTTAGGAAGAGGCAGTCCCTGGGAGCGGGGCCTGGAAGGTTCATCTCTCTCTAGCTCCTCCCTTCTCTCTCTAGCGTTTCCTACTTCCTGTCCTCCATGCAGTGAACAAATCTCCTCTGCCAGGCCCCTCTGCCATGCTGTCCTGCCTTGAAGCCAACAGACTAGAGATTAAAGCCTCTACCAACTGTGCGCCAAACTGAACCTCTCCTTCAAATTGCGGGTGTTGGGTCTTTTTTGTGTCTGAGCAGCAAGGAAAGTGATTAAGCCACACCCCCTAGACACACCTTTGCCTTCTTCCAGGAGTCCAGGACTGTGCCCACACTGCCAGCATGCATGTGGGCCTGGGCACTCTTCTTTTTTTTTTTTTTTTTGGTTTTGGTTTTTTTCCGGTACCAGGAACCGAACTCACGACCTTGCGCTTGCCAGGCGGGCGCTTTTGCCGCTGAGCTAAATCCCCAGCCCCTGGCCTGGGCACTCTTGCAGCTCCCACAAGGGGCGTTCTGCAGCTGCATTTTGCTGTGGGATCATCTGTAAGGCAGGCGCCCTGCCCCAGCCTCCTGGAGTGCACAGGCCTTGCTGGGTGCCCCACAGTCCTCCAGGAGGGCCCACAGCCACACCCCTCACCACCGCCCCACATGCCAATGCTGGTGAGTTTTTGCTGAGGTGGTGGTGATTGATGGTGCTTCAGTAAGTTTTAATTTGCATTTCTCTAATTGTGAGACTGAATGTCTGTCACATATTTAAGGACTTCTTATAAATGACCTGTTAATTCCATGTCCTATACTGGGCTTTGGGCCCTCATCCCCCACACAGGTGCATGTAATAAGTCTGAACACAGGTAAGTGCACATGTACAGATATGCAGGAGCCGTGCGCACAGGCACATACTGCAGCCACATGGGGTTCTTGCCCTGCGACTCCATCTCTGACCAATGACCGGTGCACAGTGTGAGGTGTAAGCTTGACTCCATTCTCTCTTGGTCAGCACACAGGTGGGAGGGTCCTCTCCTGAGCTCAGCTGCCGTCTGCCCTGCCTGAGCCACCTCATGAGGGAATGTGGGCTCCTGGGGCTCGCCTGCAGGAGGAGGTCCTTGGGCTCTCCCTGCATGTTTTCCTGCATGAAATGTCCAGCTTTACTCAGAGTCAGGTTACAGGGCTGTGCCAGAGGCACACATGTCTATGGCCGACCTCTATGCCACCAGAAGGGTGTGTCTCTCCCACCTGCCCACGTCCACCTTTAAGGGTTGCACACTTCTCCTTAGACTGTTCTGTGCACTAGACCTTGTTGCATGGTGAGCGGGGCTTCCTCTTGCCTGACCTCCAGCCAGATACTGTGTGTATGCCTGTGAACCCATGCACACATGTGTATGTGCATGTACACTCTATGATGGCTGTCAGTTTCCGTGCCAACTCCAGAGGGGCAGAACCATGTCTGGGCATGTTGGTGTGCCCCCCTGCCCGTGTTCTCCTGCCTCAGGGCCCCAGAGACTGTGGACAAGGATGTGGATGCAGCAATGTGACATTGCTGGGGGCCTCCAGTGGCCAGTGGTACTCACTCCACAGCATAGGACATCACCCAGAGAGTGACGCAGTGGATCTGATGTGGAGGTAGCCCAGGACTACCCCTCGGCCAGCACCCAGTATGAAGAGGACACAGTCAGTCAGATGTGCTGCCAGGACCTGGGTGCAGGTCACCTGTTATAATATCTGCCACAGCCCAGCAACCGCGAGAAGAACAAAGATCTTTAAAATGCTAAGACTACAATTGTCCCCAAGCCCAGTTGAAACTGGTTATGTGTCCTGGACTAACCAAGGAGCACCCTCTCCTGCCTTAGGAACAAATCGTCCTCTACACCTCTGTCCCTGCAACCCTCTCTTTCTTCAGTATCAACTCAAAGGCTTTGCTGTCCTCCTGTGCCCAGAACCCTGGCCCAGGGCCTGACTCCTCTCCTGCTCCAGGGAGAACTGGTTAGCATGCCATGGGCCCAGAGGCCACATGCTCTGGGAAATGGATCTCAAACCAGGTCAGGGGCCACACTTGGAAGAACTAGCAGTGGGCAGCTGTCAACACACTGTCACGTGCTCTCACCTGGATTCCCGAAAGCCACAGTGGATGTGGGTCAAAGTACTCACACCTGCATTCCTGCACTACAGCCATCCAGTCCCGGCAGCTTTGAGTTGCACTGGCACCTTCTGAGCAGGTGCACTCCTCATCCAGCCTGGCCTGCTTCCTCCCCACGCCTGCCACCTGACCCCCACCAGCTATGCTAGAGCTGCCAGGAGTGGGGGGCCCTCTCCTCCTCAGAAATCTGGGTACTGTGAGGCTGGCACCATGTGACCCAGTGTCCTGAATTCCCACGAAGCAGGGGCCAAAGGTATTATCCCAGCTTATCTCAGGAGACTCACTGCACATGTCAGCAGATATCCTCTCCAATGGCCTCCAGGGTCTCAGGAGATGACCTCATCTCTACCCTTCCTCAGTCCACTCAGCTGGGAGTTAGGGCAGCTCCGCCCCTAAGCTTTGAATACAAATCTCCCTGAGCCTGAGAAATCACACAATAGCAAGGCCTTGAGTCGCATGTGCCCAGCACCCAAGGGACAGAGAGGGCAGCTATCCTGGGCACAGCCCGGGCCCTGAGCCCTCACAGAGGGCATTTTCAATCTAAGTTACTGCTTCTCAGTCCTGTTGGTTTTTCTACATCCTGATCCACAAGTGTTCTAGGATGTCTATATGTTTGCATGCCTGTGTGTACATATATGTGTGCATGTGTGTCTGTGTGTGCATGTGTTACATAACTGCACCTATGTGTACATGTGCGCATATGCATGGGTTGTATGCATGCATTTGCATGCCTGTGTGGACATGTATACTGCACATGTGCATGTGTTTGTGTTTATGTGAATTTGAATGTGCATGTGTATATATTATGTACATGTATGTGCACACGTGTGCATGTGGGTCCACATATGGGATATGGGGGTCAGCATTTAACAAACAGTCTTTCCTGCCCTGGCCTTGTGGGTCAGCTGGACTGTAGCACCATTGTGAAATCCATGACCCGTGTGTCTGGGGAAGAAACAAGGACCACTAGTCCAACAGTGGAGAAATCAGAAGCTGATCCAATTTGGAGCTGTCTGCCCATCACTGGAGTCTAACCTAATAAGGGCAGAGATAATGGAGGTGCATTCCTGATGATTAGATTCCACCTGGAGTCCAGAGGAAGGCAATTTCAGATTCTATGAGGCTGCAGGAGGGGTGGGGTTTGCTTCATGGAGGCATCTTCAGAGACGCTGTGGGAGTGGGGCAAGCTCAGCCCTGAGCTGATGCTGACCACGCCAGCCCACAGCTCAGAAGTGCTCACACAATGCTGTCTACCTCTGTATATACTCACAATTTCCAATGGCTTTAAGATTAAAAGAAACTAAGAAAAAGTGTTCCCAAGCTTCTGGACATGCCTTGGGTGTAGCAGTTTTCTCTGTAGCCAGCAGTGCCCCAACTGGATCTTGGTTCTCACAGGACGAGGCAGCTACCCTGAGTAACCAGGGGCTCTGGAGCAGGCATCCCCATGTGGCCACCTCTGTGCTGGACATGTCCTGAGTGTAACCCGACTGTTTCCCCAGCCTGCATGGCAGCAGCTGGGGCTCAGGACAGCTCTGCATACCCTGGCCACACTAATGGTGGCCCAGGGCTTCAACTGCTGACATCAAGCAAGCATCAGAGTGAGACCGTGGCCATCATGTGAAGTCAGCCTGGACACTTCCCGGAAGAAGCACAGTGAGGCAGGGCAGGAGCACCCATAGCCCTCCAGAGGTTCTGAGGACCCAGCAACTGGCCTCAACTGTCCAGAGCTGGACCCGCTGCTCTGGCCACTGCTGTCCCCTTTGGGCTCCTGCTGCCCACTGGGAGGCCCACATACCATGCAGCAGAGCCAGGGACCTGGGCTGGCCCCACCCCCAGGAAGGTGAAAGTAGCTGAGGTGACTTCTCCTTGTAAGCAAAATGACTGCTAGAAACAAGTGAGCAATGCAGGCTTCAGGATGGAGATGAACTCCAAACCAGAGGCCACAGCAATGCAAAACAAAAGTGAGAAAATGAAGCCCCCAAGGAAAACAAAACAATCAAGAACAGATTTAACAGATAAAGCGCAAAGCTGGGAACTCCACCACATTGATGAAGGGAGCTAGAGAAGAGGCCCAAAGACCCTGGACGAGGAGGCCAGGTCCAAGCCACACTTCCTGCCCTGACTCCTGTCATCCCCAACATGTGCCCTGGTGCAGGGAGATGCACAAACCACAGGCAGAGCTGGGAGTCCAAAAATAAACCTGGCACTGCAGTCTGCTGCTCTCGACAAGGGCATCAGGCCACTGGAGGGAGACGTGAACTTCTCAGCAAATGGTGCTCAGACAACTGGAAAAGCCCAAAGAAGGAATGTGGGTGGCTCCCTGCATTGTAAATACAAGTTAACTCAGTGTCAAATACCTGACAGAAGCATTAAAGTCAGAAAAACTGCAAGGAAACACAGGGCAAGTCATTGTGCCCTTGGATTTGACAAGTGACTCATGGAGGTGCTAACAAAAGCCTGAGGGGGAAAAATATGCTCATTAGACATCATCAAAACTGAAAACCACTGCACTGAAAGGACAATGACAAGAAAGTGAAAAGACAATCCGCAGAGCAGGAGAGAGCTATTGCGTGCGTTTGACGGCAATGTGTGTCTAGGGTACACAAGGGACTCTGGTAGTGACGAGAGAGAAGCAATCCCAAAGAACACAAGCAGAAGATCAAACAGATGTTTCCCAGAGAATGGAGAGAGACTGGACTCCCTTGGTCACAAGGAGAACACCACGAAGGCCTTGAAGACACAGCAGGCGCTGCTCCACTCCAGGGGTGGCGAGGAGGAAGAGATCAGCCCCTACTGCCTGTGGTGGCGTCGAGTGGGCAGCTCCTTGGGAAAACAGTCCGAGAGCTCCTCACTCAGCCAGACACAGTTTACTGTCCTGTGATTTCCTCCCTAGGTATATTCCCCAGAGAAAGGAAAGGGACAGTCCACACAGACACCAGCCCAGGCATTTCACACATGCCTACCAAGCACACCACAACAGCTAAGCGACAGAGACAACCCTCATAGCCATCCACCAGGGAGCTGACAGGGGACATGTGATCTCCCACACTGGACTATCACCCACCCCTGAAAAAGGAGACTCTGACATGCCACAACTTGGGAACCGTGCTGGTATTGTGCTCAAGGAGAAAAAAAGAAATGAAAGGTACCTGGTGTGTAATCCCACTCCTAGGTCAGCCCACAGCAGCAGCACTCAGATGAGGCCCGGCATGGCAGTGAGGCTGGGTAGGGCTGAGCAGGTGCCATGGTGACAGGCATCCTAAAGCCACCTACGTGGGATGGCACTCCTGCCTACTGCACACTGGAATCCGTGGCGCTGGACCTGTTCCATGAGTGGCTGCATGGACATGGCTGTATCTCTTAACACCTTTCCTAAAAAGGGAAGCTTCAGGAATTGGGCCTCTGAGAACAGGAAGGTCCATGTGACTGTGCATGCCACCATGTACGCAGGTGCTCTGCCCACCCGACTGCCCCGCCATGTGGCCTCTGTGGACACAAAGGTGTTAAGTGCTGCCCCAGCCTGGAACCTAGGAGAGCATGTTCCCAGGTGGAGGACTGTGGGCTGCTTCCTGACCTGTGGGCCTGTGCTACTGCCAGTGGCCTGCACAGGAGCTCCTGCACCAACTGCAGAAGTGCAGCTCACCCTGTGACACATCATCCTCCCTAGGACTCGGGCAAACTCTCTCTGCCAGGATGAGTTGCCCTACACAGGGCTCGGTTCCCAGCTTCCTCCCCTGCTGCTGGTGACCCCACTGCTCTCCCCCAGGACAGGATGGGTTGAGCACTGGAGCCAGGGCCACCTGGGGCACACACACGTCACACCCTGGTCACTCCAGCCTTATGACACAGTCTGGTGACGGCCGACAGTAGGGATGTGGAGCTGAGGCAGGAGCAGAACAGCCACTGCCCTCCGACTGCTGCCCCAGTGACCTGGAACTGTTCTGCCGGGCACAGCCTGAAGAGCAGACACCAGAGTCAACACCAGCGATGCCCTTGGAGGCCAAACACTGCAGTGGTGTCTGGACATCCACGCCGCACTGCACCATCCCGGCCCAGGCACCTCCTGTCCACCCCTCCCCTGTCCCGGTCTGGCAGCTCTAAGCATTGCCTCAGCATCAGGACGCTCAGTCAGCCCACGGTGGGCGGGGCTGGGCACAGGGAGCCTCTTGTGGGAACAGCTGTGGCTGCAGCCTCCTCCCCGCCTCGGAAGAGACTTGTCTTCTTACCATTTGTCTTCTGTTCTCCACCAGGTAGATGCCAATGATTCCCAGGAAAGAGCCAAAGCCCAGCTGAGACACAAGAGAAACAGGAGAGGAAGGTTCTGGTCAGCAGTCAGTTGCACTCCCTGGAAACCCATCTCCCCACAGGCACCCCTACGCTCCAGGTGCACTCACTCCTGCTGTGCTGAGCTGGCCAGGGACCAAGCCCCAACACCACCCATCTCCTCTCCTGAGTCCTGGAAGAGACAAGGTGGCCCTGGCTCACTAACCCTGTCCAAGGACAGCTACACAGGTTGGGCACTGCTCAAACCTGCCATACTGCCCAGGGATGCAGGAACCACCTCTGGACCTGGCCAGGGATAGGCAGAGGCTCCCAGCTGGGAGACAGGAGGAGAGGGGCCACATTGGGGTGAACATTCTGGCAGCTGTCTCTACAGGAAAGGTGGGAAGCTGGCAGCGCATGAGTTTCAGCAGTGACGGTGAACCCCGCTGAGTGGCTGGGACAGTGTATGTTGCAGAGGCAGAGTTGCCCCCGGCTGCTCAGCCATAGCTGAGGGAGCTGCGCCGAGGTGGCTGGACATGAGCAGCCTGGGGCTCTGACCCACTTCCACAACTGTGTCAGCCTCAATGCACTGGGAGTCAGACTGACAGTGTCCGTGGTCACACCTTACTGGTCACAGATCAGAAGTGACACACAGGTACACACACGGTTCCCACCATGACACGGGGTTCCCATAGGGATAAAAAGATCACAACCTCTTCAGCACTGAACTTTGAGGTTCCACAGTTCACGAACATCAAAGTAAAAAAAAAAAAAAAAAAAAAAAAAGAGCTAAGCATGGTGGTGCTCACCTGTGATTTAGCATTTAGGAGCCTGAAGCAGGAGGACGGCTGAGCAGTCAATGCTAGCCTAAACTACGTAGTGAGATACTGTCTCAAAGGAACCAAAAAATAAATAAATATCAAAGTCCACTCAACATAAATGTGTTTAAATATTCTGTCTCACTACATTTTATTTTCTTTCATTTGGAAAGGATCTTACTCCACAGTATGGTGGACAGAGCCCCCGCCGCCGGGGTCCCTGCGATCTCGCTCGCACATGCACAGCTCACAGCCAGGGCTGTGGGCCACAGCTCACACACTCCAGGCAGCGCCATTGTCCTGCACAGGACCCGGCCCCACTCCCAGGGGCCCATTCTTTCCCGAATGCGGGAGTGGCTCTACCCAAGCAAAGGCCCAGAGCAAACAGAGACAGCCCCTCAGAGGCAAGCTGATAGTACACAAATGCTTCAGGACGAGGCATCTTCATGGTCATTAGCAGTGGGCTCCAGAGCACCCTCACTCCCAGAGAAGATGACAGAAAAACAGGGTGAGGCCAGTCCCCAACACTCACTTCAAGCAGTTGCACTAGAAAGCTTTCTCTGGAAGATTCTACTCGTATGTATGTTTATTCCTGAACTAGATAGAGTCCATGAATCAAAGTATGTAAGGGTCAGTATAAAGAGGAAAGACAACCTTCTTGGTGAGGATTTTTCTTGGCTTTCTAGTTGTTTTATTTTCCTTTGCTTTGCTTTGTTATTCAGTTTTTTGAGACAAGGTGTCACTATGTAGCCCAGGCTGGACTTGAACTCTTGGTGATCCTCCTGCCTCAGCCTCCCTAGTGCTGAGATCACAGGTGTGTGTAACTGACATCTGTAGAGAGTGTGCAGATGCTGAGGGCAGCTTTGCCAGTATTGTGTCTGGTCCTGCTGGTGAGGTCAGTGAAAGCCACAGGGTTGATTGCCTCATTTCAAGATGTCTTGGTCTATAGCCTGTGACTGGGTGGCCAGGCTCAGGACCCCAAGGTCGTCTCAGCAGAGCTCACTGAGGCTAGTTCTGTTACTGATGGCAGCTATGTGGATTCACAGGTTGGTCTCCTGGCAGCATGGAGCTCAGTGGTGTAGGCACTGACCTAACTCAGAGTAGACGCCGTCAGCCCTGTTGATTTCCTTTGGTCCGTGTGACCTTACTCTGAAGGAATCTTCAACTGCAGGTCCTTGGCAGGAATGTTGCAGAGGGGCTGGGACCCTGGGAGGGTCCCCTTCCACCCTATATCGTGCCACCGAGCACGGAGTGACCAGCCCTGCCCCATGTGCAGGCCCCTGGATGGCACAGGACCCTGGCCCTATCCGGTCTCCTGACAGGAGCCTTTGTCTCAGCAGCATTCTAGGGTGTGGACAGGGAGGCCCCGCTCTGCAGGGAAGTCTCCCCTACCCCGTGGGGAGGCAGAGCCCTCCCACACCCCTGCAGACCCAGGACTCACAATGATGCCAGGGTAGTAACCGCCCACTGTCACATTCTCCGTCCTGGTGTTGGCAGCGAGGCCGATGGTCAAGATGAGGGCAGATACCAGCAACAGAGACCCCACAAACCACAGGGAGATCCGCTTCCTCCGGCCGAACCCTTCTGTGGAAGGACGAGGACAAACATCAGTGTGACCATCCCTGAGGGGTCTCTTCCCTGGATGCAACAGCACAGGGTCAGTCTCTCAAGACCTCAGGCTCCTCCTCGCCCTGTAGATGCCTAGCCCTGGAGACCCCCATGACCCTGCCCACCTTCCCAGCTCCTGTGAGGCATGGACTCCACCTCCCTGAGGTCCTTGAGCCCAGTCCCTGTGCTGCCCCTCCTCAGATGATCCCCCACCCCTGCCACAGCCCCAGGGTGACATCCTCCGGGACTGCTGTCCTCAAGGGATATTTTCCTGCCCAGACCAGGAGCTGCAACACCTGTGCCACATGCAGTGCCCCCTCCTGCCTCCTAGAACCCCAGACCCCCATACCTCCATCCCTGCCCCCTGCACTGCAGAAACTGAATTCAGCATCCACTACATGTCGGGCCCACCCAGCACCGCATACCAAGTCCACATCAGGCGGGACACCAGGGCATGACCCATAGCCCCTTCCACACACCACCAGGGCCTGGGAGGGTCCTTCTGCTATGTCCCTGGCAGCTCAGGGCCAAGGGGAGAACAACAGGGTCCAGCCTGGAGGAGCAGGAAAACAGAGCCAGTAATCTGCTCCTCTCGGGCCAGCTCTGGTGCAGACCGACCCTCACTGGAGGGGCAGCACTGGCCCTGCCATGCTTGGGACTCAGGAGGGTGTAGTGGGACTGTTAGGAGGGTCTCTAGCAAGCCTCAGCCTGGTCCCCTCACCCTGCCACTGCCTAGGGTGGACATATGAGGGACCATCAGAGAGACCTGGGAAGGGCCGAGCACAGGCGCCGAGTAGTCAGGCAAGGGAGCAGGACCCTGCACTGCAAGCTGCCGTTCTCGCGGCCCTGAGTCCAGTCACCACAGTCACAAAAGCAGGCAGCAGGCAGGAAGGAACCTCATCGCCTGCACCCTCCTCCACCAACTCCTCCCTGGTCTACACGGGAAGCAGCTCTCGAGAATGCCCACAGTGGCTGGCCGTTGCCCTCAAACATACCTGCCACCTAGTGCCACAGCCAAGAGCCACACAGCTGGGCCTGGCCAGAGAGGGCGCAGGCCCTCTGACCCAGCAAGGGCTCCAGCCCAGGTTTCAGAGTCAGTGCTCCATGCACACGCGTGTGAGTGAGCATATGTGGCCAAGCACGGTAAGTGCATGTGCGCAGAGTATGCACAGGCGAGTACACATGTGTGGGCTGTGCACATGTGCATGTGGGTGGACTGGACTTGAGTATGTGCACGTGAGTGTCATGCAGGGAGTGGCTCACGTGCGTGTGAGAGTGTCAGCGGCTGGACCACAGCAGGTAGTGCCTTTGCGCTTCTGAAGATTTTCTCCTCTGACCCCACTACTCATCAAGGCCTGGCTTAGGTTGAGGTAGTGCTGAGAGGACACGCCCCTCCATGATGCACACACCCACCAGGGCTGTGACTGTTCCACCCAGCAGGCCACAGCCCTGGGCACTGCTGACTGTGGGAGCCCAAGGCGGGAGGACACAGAGCAGGGCTGTCCTCTTGTCCCCTGCTGCACAAGCCCAGGGCTGAGCGAGATCTCAGTCTCAGGGGAGAGTGGAGCTCAGCCCCACTGCAGCAGACACTGTCACAGGGACCATGAGCCTCAAGAGGCCCTGAAGCTGTCCCGCGACCTATGGACGTGGTGTTCCCCATCCCTGCTCTTTGCTCTGGGACCTCATGACCCTAGATCCCACTCACAGAGACTGAGCCAGGGCCTGCAGCCTGGATAGACCTAGGCCCCAGAATGTGTTCATTTAAACACGTGTCCGCTGGGCGCATGACACACCTGTGCTGCCAGTATTCGGGAGGCAGGAGTGACTTTGAGACCAGGGATTCAAGCCCAGCCTGCGCAACACAGAAAGACCCCATCAAAAAAAAGCATGGACCCCACTGTAGGGACAAGGCATTGATCCTGGGGTGCAGGGACACCGAGGTATGCACCTTGTCACTGGTGTCCCTGTGTTCTGATTTACAAGCAGCACCCAGTGTGACAGGCAAAGGACAGAGGTAAAATGCCCACTGTCCTACCCAGACACACTAGGGTTTGGTGTCTTTTAAGTTTTGCTCTTTATTTTTTGAGATGGGATCTCACTATGTTGCCCAGGTTGGTCTTGAACTCATGAAGTCAAGTGATCCTCCTACCTCAGTCCTCTGAGTAGTGGGGACCTCAGGCAGCCTCTGCCCCTGGTTTTGAATCTTTTAATAAAAGACTGATGCCAGGTGTTACGTCCTAAGGCTTAAAATATCTTACCAGAAGAAAAACTAGATCATTTGCTAGGTAAACCATTGGTCACTCAGTACCACAACAGTAGCAACTGGTTAGCAATAAGTAGCCATAGTGATCAGATGCTAACCAGGCAATCCTCTCCAGAGATGAAAGTGTGTAAACACCAGGTACCCTGCTACAGAGAATGTGCAACAGAAGCCAGATCCCCTCATCGCGTCCTAACATGAACCCATTTGGCCGGAGCGAGAGCTTTGCCCCAAGTCCTCGACAAGGGTGCATGGTAACAGCCTGTTCCCACCATCACTTCACCATTTCTGGGGACTCAAGCCCCTGGGCGTCACCCTGGCTCCCGGTCCCTCCAGGAAAAGGCTTCCTGTTTTCCCAGCCCACAGCCCAAGCTGCAGGGCTGGACCTGGGAAGTCAACTAGCAATTCCGTGAATTGACGGTGAAGTGGAGGGGGCGGTCCTCGAAATCAAACAATGCCCTAAAATGCAGTGAGCACCTCTCACTTCCCAGCAGGAACAAGCTACTTGAGTTCCTTGAAAGGAACCAGACTGGGCAGAAGAACAGAGAAACGTGCAGCTTGGTGGCCCCGCTGACAAGTTTCAGATCTGTCCTCACGGGAAAGGGTGTGCGCAGCGTCACAGAGTGAAGACAGACACCAAGTCAGAGAGGCCAAGAGAGAAGAGATGAAGCGTCCGAGAAGGGCTGGGTGAGCAGACAGCCTGTGCAGTTCAAGCTCAGAGGAGGCAGAGTATCAGGCACTCCAGTGGCTGGAGCCTGGAACAGCCCTCCTCCTGCCCACCCGTGTCCCACCCACTGAGCTGTCTGCTCACCTGTGTTGTCCAGCAGTGCCAGGGGCCCAGGCACAGGGTGCGCAGGCGGCTGCATCCCAGCTGGGGAACCGGGCACCCTCAGCAGCAGCCCCCAGCTGTGCTGCTCTCCCTTGCACTCTTGCTCTCGCCCTGCTCTCTCTGTGTGACTGAAGCAGCCCAGGCCTCTGCACGGTGGCCCCGCCCCTGCTCCTGACATGCCTTCCCCTCCCCTGCCTCCCCCGCTGGCTCCGCTCCCTGCTGTCCATGCCTCCCTCGTCCTCCTGCTCACCTCTCCCTCTCCTCACCTGCTCCCCAGCCCATCCAGCTCCCTCCGGTTCCTGGAAATCAGAATGTGCAGGAAAAGGGACGCAGTCATCAGCAGACCACAGGGAGAATACACTTGGAGGTGCATCCTTGTTGATCACTCCCCCCCACAAACTCCCTCAGAGTCCTCACAGGCTAGCTTGGGGGCTGGTGGAGGGGTCTCGTGGGACGCCATGGGTGGAGCTTGTCGGTGAGAACAGGCCTCCTCTCTGCTTTTGGGGGCAGCACACGGCAGGAAGCTCAGTGTGTGAAATCCACATGTGTACCCTGAAGCTCCTGGCCTGGAAGCCAACACATTCCCCAGCCCATGTTGTGCTCTGTAGCACTGAGGGTTGGGGAAAGGGAAAGGGCTGGAAGGAAGTGGGTCACTGGTCAGATTGCCTTACATGAAGCTGGGAAAATTAGTCTTTTTAAGGCCACTAGTTTATTTTTTAAATCTTCAGCCAGGAGTGGTGGTGCACACCTCTATCCCAGCACTCAGGAGGCTGAGGCAAGAGGGTCACCTGTAGCTTGAGGCCAGCCTGGGCTATACAGTGAGACCCTCGCTCAAAAAAAACAAAAACAGACAATAATAACAACAACAAACAGGGGCCAGGGATGTACCTCAGCAGCACAAGCACTTGCCTGGCAAGTGCAAGGTTCTGAGTTCAATTCCCAGTACCAAAAAAAAAAAAAAAAAGAAAGAAAAGAAAAACCTTTTGTGGGTTGAAGTGTAGTTCAATGGTAGAGCGCTTGCCCAGCATACTGAGGCCAGGGTTTCATCCCTGGCACCACAAATAAACCAACAAAACCTTCTGAGTTAAGGGTATCAGCAGCCACCCACAGAACAAGGAACTTGCAGAGGCACCGTCTCCCTAGGAGCTGGAGTACTGCCAGGAAGAGCAACATGAACCATGAGCAGTCAGAGGACAACCACACTGGTGAGCACAGGTGCATGTGGCTGGCCATGGTGACCCCAGCACACCTCCCTGGAGACCAGCACTCAGGAAACACGAAGCAGAGCCTCCTGGCCAGCAATTTCCCCAGCGCTCCTGGAGCAGACCTTGGCTGTGCGCTTCCGAGGAGGGACCAATCCATGGTGGTAGTTAGAGTCATCCAGAGACTTTTTTAACTCCTGCCATCCTGAGCCCAGACCCGTGAATTGGTCTCTGGGGAAGAGCAGCTGTTAGGAGCCCTGTCATCACCACAGGCCATCTGCTGTGACAGAGGCCTGCATCTTGGCAGAGGGGGCACACGTGTGACAGCAGGACAACGGGCCCAGGTACGTTGAGCCCGGTGGTGCCTGTCCAGGGAACCCACACAGGGCTGCCTCATGGACCTGCCCAGACAAGAAGCAGGAAGCACTCACAGCACCGCAATGAGCACCACGCCATTCGTGCAAAGTCAAAAGTACTCGGGGAAAGAGCCCAGCTTTAGCCTGTCTGCCATCACTGTGCATGCTCTGTCCATCCTCCTGTCACACACTGGGATGTGTGGCAGAGCGGGACAAAGACCCAGGTGCAGAGGAGAGGCAACTAGCAAACATGATAAATAGCACAGCCCACAGGATCTGCATGTTCAGACACGGTTTGAATGTGTCCCCCAGGGCTCCTTATTGGAAGTGTGGTTCCAGTGTGGTGACATTGGGGGCGTCGGGACTTTCAAAGGCGGAAGTACAGTGCAAAGTGACCAGGTCCCCAGGTACCCATCCTCAAAGGTTGCAGTAGCTCCTGTGGAGCAGCTGGTATAGAGGCCAAGCTGGCCCCTTCCTGGCCCAGCTCTCATCCCTCCACGTGGCTCCAGAACAGGCCGTCCACTGTGAATGCCTCATGCTCTAAGAGGTCTTTCTGAGAGCCATGCTCCTTAGTTTAACCCAGACTCTCCCAAAAGGTCCTTTTAAAACTCAAGCTTTGGTTGGCTTAAATAGTATACAACAAACTGTCCATTTTTCAAGTGAAAATTGCATAGGTTGACATATAGACACACCCACGGAGTCAGTGCTGCAGACGGTGAGCACACCCACCATCCTAAGTTTGCCTGTGTCCCTTGTAACCCCCCTTTTGCAGCCCCTTCCCCACTGCCCACTGATCTGCTTTCTGATACCTTGCAAATTCTAGCATTTTATGGAAATGATCCTGCAGTGAGTGATATATTTGGCCTGGTTTCTTTCAGGACAACTATCTAAAATCACATGTGTGGTTGTTTTGTCAGTACTTCACGTCCTCATCGTGGAGTGAATCAGGTAGAGACTCTGACTGGTGAGAGGCTGGGCTACCAGGAGGGTGGAGGCTTGTGCATGCACCCGTCCTGAGATGCTGTCTTGGTGGCAGTCCCTGCACAACTGGCCTCACACAGCAATTGGAAATTGAGAGTAGATGTGTGGCCTTTGCACACATTTGTGGACATTTGTGATGGCACATCACAGCATCAGCCTGACTGGATTAAGGGAGACTTCCTCTTTGGGGTGTCTGTAAGGGTGTTTTCGTGAGACCGGTACTATAGGAGAGGATTTGCCTCAATGTGGGCATCACCTGATGGGCTGGGCCTGGGCAGGATGAAAGCAGAGGAAAGGTGAATTCTCCCACTCCCTCAAAGAGCTGGGACTTCCTTCACCACTCGCCCTTGGGCTCTAGGGCTTAGAGTAAGTGTTACACCATACAGGCCTGGTTCTGAGGCCTTGGGACTTGGACCCACTACTGGCTTCTCTGGGCCTCCACCTGCCAGTCACCAGGTGGTGGTGGGAATTCTCAGTGCCCATGAACACATGAACTCAGTGCCCCAGGAAATCTGCTCTTATGTGTCCATCCATCCACCTATCTACCCCATCCACCCATCCATCCATCCACCCACCCATCCATCCATCCACCCATCCACCCATCTACCCATCTACCCATCCACCCATCCATCCAGCCATCCATCCATCCATCCATCCATCCATCCATCCATCCACCCACCCATCCATCCATCCACCCACCCATCCACACATCTAGCCATCCACCCATCAATCCACCCATCCACCCATCCATCCACCCATCCATCCATCATCCACCCACCTATGCATCATCTATCCATCCATTCACTACCTATCCATCATTTATCCATCTATTCATCTACAGTATGTATTTAACTATTTGCTATCTCTCTACCTCTCATCTGTCTCTCCCATCTATCATTTATCTATCTACTTACCCATCTATCTATCAAAGTATCCACCAATTTATCTAGATTTTTCTGTCCATCTACACATTTATCAATCTATCTACCCACTTATCCATTCATATATTCATCTATCATACATTTATCCACCTGCCTATCCATCTATTTATCAATTTTTCATCTACCCATTTAGCTGCATCTTTATGTATCAATCTATCCAACTGTCTATCCATTGTCTATCTATTATCTATCTGTTCACCATCTATCCTTTCATCTATTTATATAGGCATCCATCTATTCATCTATCCATCTACTTATACATCCATTCCCCCCATGTCTATCTACCATCCATTTATCTATCCATATATCCATATGTCTATATATTTACTAGCATATCTATCTATTCTATTTGTTCCTTCTCTCTGAAGAACTCTAACACAATATTTTTCTTGAAACTATACCTGAATTTAACAAGTGGTAAGTTTTGAAGGTTAGTTACAATGTGGAGTCTGATACCACAATAACTTTTTTGTACCCTTTTCATACAGTAAAATCCTCTAGATTCTCCTATATTCTGAATGTATCCTTTGCCCAGAAGAGATGTCAAGAGATCATGCTTAGATCATTTGAAAAATTACTGGGAAGCTGTCAGGCTCATGGTAAAGGAATAAGTATTTCAAAATTCCTGTTGTAACATGAAAATTCAAACTGTTGTCACCAGCAGCAAGAACTGTGGCAGGACAGACTTCCTTATTCATTCTGAGGAAATCTCCCAATCCCATTTTGTCACGTTAGATTTGCTGCTGCAGCAACTAGAGCCAGAGTCAGACCCTGTCTGCCCTCAGTGAGCCACCTGCAGCCAGAGCCTGTGGTCCTCTGCAGGGTCATGAGACCATGGAGAAGGGCTGTGCTGTGGCTGCAGGTGATGACAGGGAGGCTCTCTGCTTCCTCAGCTGTAGTGAGGACATTCAGAAGTAAAGCTTTAAACTCTGATGCCCGAGGTGAAGGGCACAGTGACAGGTAGGACAAGGGGCCAAGTGCCAGCAGCTTGACCACCGCTGATGCTGCACCACCATGCAAGGTCCACTTGGTGGAAAAGGCAGAGAATGTCTTAGAATTGTAGTCACGTACCACACAATGATGCTTGGGTCAGTGACAGTGCATAATTCAGGAGGTCCCAGAGATGGTGATGGGACCCCTGCCTCAACAGAGAGACATCACTATTGTCATACACCGATGAGCAGCGCACTCCCCACCTGGTCATGGGAAGATGCAGCACATGTGAGTGCATGCAGTTGTTAGCACCTGGCAGTGATGGAGATCACAATCTTGCCAGCTTAAGTACCTTCTGCGCTGTGCTTTTCACTGTTGCAGAGAGTGTGTCCCTTTGCACACGTGGTTAAAGAGCTTCCCCAAAGCAGCCTACTGTGCTGCACTGAGGAGGCTGGCATCTTGGCTTACAGCATCCATACCAGGCCACTGGCTTGAGGCCCATCATACCAGCTGACAGCTGGCACCCCAGGGAGCAATGGGCTGGGATCTGGGTATTTTTAAAATGTAACTCAATTGAGCTCTCTCAAAAGGCAATTATGAAAGGATGAAGAAATCTGTCTTCTACCCATCTGGAGATAACCACAAAAGCTGGATAAATTAGTACTGGCAACAGGAGAAAATTTAAAGCGTTTCTGCTATACACATGCATCCTCTCTAAAGCCAA